GAAGTATTTTAGTCGTTCTTTTTGTTAATTTTAACTGTACCGATGAATTCATTGACGAAACTTAACGTTTAGAAACCTACGTTACGAATCCACACACTCACAGGGAGACTATTGTGTTGAAATCTTTCTTTTGATGACAGAATCTTGCCCGCGAATTTATTGACGCCTTAGCCAATTGATAAGCATTTGCTGAAGCAGGCACACTGTCGCACACCATTGTTCCTAGACATTTAGTTAATTACATAATCTACCAATTAATTAATTGAGGTCTACTTTTGCATTCGGGACATGTTTTTTTATTGCTGTTCGTATGAATATCGTCACATTTACTTTTACGGACTTTTTCCTATTGCCGTATATGCTCGCGTTACTCTGAGAAATTAACCGATTGCTCTGTTACCTTCCTAAGTTCATGCATAATGAACTTAATTATAAGAACTGTATCCTTCGGCGAGATCTGAATTCTGAGACCTGATAGAATTACACTAAAACATAATCAATAAAAGTTACAGCGAGAATCTTTGTATTATCACGATTAGTTGGAAGACATTTTTTTCACGGACCAGCGGGGGGGGGGGGGGATGGTTTCATGATGATTCAAGCGCATTATATTTATTGTGCACTTTATTTATATTATTACATTGTAATATGAAAGAATGATACAACTCGCCATAATGCAGAATCAATGGGAGCTAGGCCTCGGCAAGGTAAGGTAAAAGTTAAACGGTAAAAAAAAAAGACTACCTTTACCTTACCTTTTACCTTACCACAATACAATCGCTCTCCCCTACCTTTTACCCTTTAGCAGGTAAGGTAAAAGGTAAAAAGAAACGACCCTACCTTTACCCTACCTTTTACCCTCATCCCATACAAATTACCCGATTACAGGGAAATTACTGGGGTACAACACATGACAAAGGTGTATAACGATAAATGCTAGGTAGAGCGCTTTGTTCATATAGAATACTCTCGAATCGGGCGTTGAGGCTGTCGACGACAACGTCCTCCATATCCTCCTCGTCCCAGTCGTCTTAGTCGATGGCGATCTCATCAACAACCTGATCAAGTTCGTCATTGCCATCGTCCTCGGACGAACGACAGGCAATAAGATCCTGCGCCGATCCGGCCCAGTTATACGGAACCTTCAGGCAGCCGACGTCCCGACCTCGCTGCCTGGGTCGAGCACGTTGTGCTTCTTGAGGTGGGCTTTCCACCCCGACGCGTTCGTGTGGGTGGAAAACCACTTGCGTGTGCTCCCACGGGAGCGCATGCCGCTGCCTTTTTCGATTACTGTTCGCAGCAATCCCAAAAATGCCATTGCTGTTATCCTCGACCTCATCCTCTAGTACCTCTACCTCAAGAACGCGGACCGTCCCCATCTGGTCCGACATCAATTATCGCAAATTAAAATAGAGGCCACGGACTGTGCCACGGAGCTTTTAGCGGTAAACAAGGTACTGTAGTTACCGGGTAATTATTCGCGCTACCTTTACCCTACCGGGTAATTCTTCTGAGCTACCTTTAACCTACCTTTACCTTACCCCTTGGCATGTCGAAACCTTTACCTTTTTACCTGGTAAAAAAGGTAATTTACCTTACCTTGCCGAGGCCTAGTGGGAGCCCTGAGCCCGTTTTCCTGTAACGAGATGGTCCCATCTGGGGGGGATGGGAGACCGTGACACCCGAAGTGTGTTGCCTATGTCCAGTCTGCTACCATATTCTAGTTTTGGTTGCTGTCACTGCAGAAATCCCTGCTTCACAAAGATAGGACGTTGGAAATGGAAGCAGGCTTTTCTGTGCTTTTGTCGCAATCTCAGGATATTCCGCCTTGACTTTAATCCAGAACGTATCGAGATTTGAAGTTGTCTCAAACATACTTTTAAGGCCACCTTCATTTGCGATCTCAAGCAGTTGATCCTCTTCTAGCACAGACAAAGTCGATTCACCTGGCTTAATCACAAATGGGTCGCGGGTCCATTCCTTCCCAGTTCGGGGGTCTTTTGTGGTTGGGAAATAATGCTCAAACTCTTTTAAAAGCTGAGATAGGTTTTAATGCACCAGCTGGGAGAAAGGCCCTGGCTCAGTCTCTTTCAAAATCTCTGCTAGTGTTTGAAACGTGTCAAAAGTTCCAATGTTCACTCGTCGCCCTCATAATTCCAGTTTGGCTTTGAATACAGCCACTTTATCTGCCGAATTGGACCGAGTTGTCGATCTCCCCTGAAATGACAGATTGAGTACGTTGAGCAGGCTGAATATGTCACACAAGTGAGAAAGTTTTGCGACCCATTCTGTGTCACTGAAATGTGCTGCCAGTGGTGACTGTTTTCCTTAAAGATATCTCTGGAGTGGCTCTCGCAACTCAAAAACTCTGGCCAGTGATCTACCTTTAGAAAGCCATCTCACTTCTGTGTTTTAGAGATGATGTGTGGTGAGCGTGCTGCGCTCCGAACCCGGCGACCCGAGTTTGATTCCCGCTCACGGCCACAACGATTATTTTACTGGTCCTGGGCTTCCCCTAGGTCAGGGGTCGGCAACCTACGGCTCCGGAGCCGCATGCGGCTCTTTACAGGCTGCTTCTTGACGATATGTACAGTATGTACTCATCGTCAAGAAGCAGCCTGTAAAGAGCAGCCTGTATGTACTCAGATGCATTGCGGCTCTTGAAATACTGAATTTTGTACCGAATTGGAAAGAAATGGCTCTTCTTGTTATTTTGGTTGCCGACCCCTGCCCTAGGTCGACTCAGCCTCAAACGAGTAACTGATGTGGTGTGTGAACATCGCCACTGGGGAGACAAAGGCGGCCGGGCGTGGTGAATCCAAGTCCCGGGCGAAGCCGGGTAGTCAAGCTAGTCTTCTATATATAAAAGGAAAATTTGTGAATGTGTTGTCTGTTCAAAATGTTTAAGCGTACTTCCCGACATGCAACAATCTTGAAATTTTCCATGTGGTACTTTGCAAAATGTACACCATGCAAAAATTATAAAAAAATAAACATTTGTATTTTGGGGGGGGGGGGGGGAATGACCATGATGTGTGTGGCGAGAATCGATATCTGCTGAGCGTTTGTGGTATCGATCAAACGGAATAAGCCGATTCTAAATAAATCTACAACCTTCGATTCCTTTGCGCGATCTAAAGAATCAAATCTTGACGGGCGAGCCGCAAGTTTATTTTCCACCGCGCGTTGGGTTTTATTTAAATTTATAAAAAAATTACATTTTTTATTAATTTCATGAATAAGATGAAAATCAAAAAAAATTTTCATTTGTATATGTTATGTTTTTAAGTTTTTTGAGAAGTTTTTCAAGAAATGTTTCCCCCGGGCAACGCCGGGTGCTTCCCGCTAGTACCTCATAAATGAAACTGAAACTATCAACTGGCGGTTAATTAACATAATTTATTCATAAATATCGCTATTTCATTGCGACAAGTTCAACATCCACGCCTCATCACTGCACATGAGACCGTCTCATTAACATAATTTATTCAGTTACACCGCCGCTCGTTGGGGGAGGGGATTGTGTTCAAAGCCTACCAGTGACGTCATGTCACCGCTTGCTGCCGCGTGACGTCACTTTATAGCGGGAAGCTGCTGCACCGCGCGCGCTCTTACAGATCCGAGGTGAGAAGTTAACATCGTGGTGGTTGTTGTGGTTTGCCCAGGTAGAGCCTCTCTCCGTCTCTCTCTCGTAGGGATATCAATTGAGTAGCAGCGAGTCTGGAATCGATGTCCAGGTTGGAACATTACAACGCGGGGCCTAGCCACGCGCGGCCTTGCCTCCTGCCCTCGCCTGATTGCATTTGCTTTAATCCTCTGCTTAAGTTTAATTCGTCTTCATCTGGCTCACTACTTCATGCGACCTCCTTTGCCAGTAGCAACATATAAGAAGAGGTTTCCCCCCCCCCTTTTTTGGCAACAAAGCAGGTGTTAAGATATTCTTGGTTCTTTCGGTAAAGTCACGTAGAAGGGAAATAATAAAGTAATACAATTTCTTGCTGTGTTTTTCACGCCTGACGATTGCTCGTGTTGCAGTCGAAACGTCGTGAGAATTTATTTTTTATTTTATTGTTTTTCTTCTCCGTGACTAGGTGTGAAAAACAGCAATAATTTTTTTGAAAATTTTTGATAATTTTCTTGCCGTGTTTTTCACACCTGACGATGATTGCTAGTGTAGCAGTCGAAACGTCGTGAGAATTTATTTAATTTCATTGTTTGTCTTCTACGTGACTTTAGGTGTGAAAAACAGCGAGAATTTTTTGGAAATTTTTGGAAAATTTTCTTGCTGTGTTAATTCACACCTGATTGCTCGTCTTGCAGTCGAAACGTCGTGAGAATTTTTGTAGTTTTTTATTGTTTTTCTTCTACATGACTTTAGGTGTGAAAAACAGCAAGAAATTTTTGGAAAATTCTTGAAAATGTTCTTGCTGTTTTTCACACCTGATTGCCTGCCTCGAGCGGTGATATCAATATAGAATATATGTAAGGATGCCCCCCAATAGACTTCCCCTGGATCTCTACCAGACACGTCCCACTGGGTCGAAGACCCCAGGGCTGGCCCAGGACACGCTGGCGGGACTATGTCGCTCGGCTGGCCTGGGAATGCCTGGGAATTCCCCAGGATGAGCTAGAGTCTGTCGCCAGGGAAAAGGAGGCCTGGACTGCCCTTCTCAGCATGCTGCCACCGCGACCCTCACCAGAAAAAGCATTTTAGAAACTAACGAATAAAGCTGTGATTCTTCTTGGCCACATATTACTATGTGGATTCAGAATATTAACTTATTTAAATTACCATCTCTGCTGGCTTATACCATGAAGGCTGTCCTGCCTATGATTCATCCTCTATCCAACCAGACTTATTTTGTATTAGAAGCTTACAGATCCTGAAGATGTCAATATAGAATATAATCTTGAGTCTCTTTCGCAGGCGAGGCTGCATTTGTTTGGTCATGAATCCCGCATTCCCAGACACTACATGCTCAAGCATCTTTTGTTTGTCCAGATATTAGGGGCTGAACAGGCATGGCATTGACCAGAGAAGAGATTGGAGGATGTGGAGGTGATCGGACCTGCCGATGACTGGTGCCGGCAGTGTCAAGATTGGCCTCTGTGGAGGAGGTCCGTGAGGTATGCTGCAGGGCAGTTAATAGATATTTTCTCTGCAACAACGATGAGGTCAGAAGAGCGACGCCAACATGAATACGTGGTACGCTGGGTTCCTAAAACCCAGCAAGGTAGTGGGGAGCACAGCTGGTTCATCTGCCAGTCATCCTTTGACACCTGGATCATTCCCATTACCTGCTGACAAGGAATCCACACTTACATGGCCTTAAATTGCACCTATCATGGCATTAGCACTGGGATAAGGTTACTTGCAATTCGTCATGAATGGTGGATTTTGTTTATATATGTTAATGATGCATGTGGAATGTATGTGTATTTAAGAGTTTATCTTTGTGGGGAGCTGTGGTGCAGTTATTTCACTGCATTATGAACTCAACAATTAGTTTGATTATCAGCGACATCAAAAATGATTGATAAGTGAAAGCTCAACTGCTTGTGGGCCTCTGCTATGTTGATTGATCTTAAATTAATTAGATGATGAAGGGAGGAAGCGTCAATACTGAGCAGATGAAGGCGGCCAGGCATGGTTCTGGACACACCACCACTTTTTACCATGCCAGTGTGTGACTGTGTCAAGTTTGTATTTGCAGTAAATTATATTAACTATTCAACATGGAGGTTAAATCAAAGCAATCGTTTATTTTAGTTTCCCTCTGGAATTTTTTGGAAGAATGGAAACAGGAAATTAACAGCACATGCTGCTGAAGTTAGATCTGTTCATCCAAGCATTCAAGCAAATTTGAGCCTGGCTTCACACCTCTAAAGTTGCGATTGAACATTTATTTTTGCATTTCTGCATAATACAAATAGCATTATTCCCAAAAGCCTTTACTATATGAGCTGAATTTTGCTTTTATAAATACTACTTTTGCAGCCAGGCAGCCGAAATTGTGTGCTTGGTGTTTTGGGTTAACATTTATTTTGAAGATACTAGGGCTTCCAGGCATATTTATAACCTTTTGCCCTCTCTTTGTGTGCCTTAACAGCCCGTGTGATGAATTGGGGATAATCTTGAAGATATGGATAAATATAGACGTGTAAGTCATGTGTGACTGTGTATATATTCATTCCTCTTTGCCTCGATACTCATGAAGATGGTGTGGACATTTTTTTTCTGTCTGCAGCTGATGCTTCTTCTGATGCTTCCTCTGCAGAATTGGTCTGATGGAGCAAAAGCACTCAGCGCGGCTCGGTAGACAAAGACAACAATGGGACCAGTATGCAAACAGCATGGATTCTACTGGAAATTTTACACAGGACCAGAGATCTCCAATGGGAGAGAAACCCTTCAAGTTCACTGTGTGTGGGAAGGCATTTTCAGATTCATATGCTCTTAAAACACACCAAAGAACTCACACAGGAGAGAAACTCTTCAAGTGCACTGTGTGTGGGAAGGCAATTTCAAGTTCATTTAATCTTAAAATACACCAGAGAACTCACACAGGTGAGAAACCCTTCAAGTGCACTGTGTGTGGGAAGGCATTTTCAAGTTCATCTGATCTTAAAATACACCAGAGAACACACACAGGAGATAAACCCTTCAAGTGCAGTGTGTGTGAGATGACATTTTCACAGTCATCAAATCTTAAAAAGCACCAGAGAACACACACAGGAGAGAAACCCTTCAAGTGCACTGTGTGTGGGAAGGCATTTTCAAGTTCATCTTATCTTAAAACGCACCAGAGAACACACACAGGAGAGAAACCCTTCAAGTGCAGTGTGTGTGAGATGGCATTTTCACAGTCATCAAATCTTAAAAAGCACCAGAGAACACACACAGGAGAGAAACCCTTCAAGTGCACTCTGTGCGGGAAGGCGTTTGAACAGTCAACACAGCTTAATACACACCAGAGAACACACAGGCATCAGAAGACCCCCAAGGAGTGTAGTCTGAAATCGACTTGTGAAAGTCAAAGTGCTGCAATGAGCCCATCCCTCGTGAAAAAAGAACCAGAAGTAAATTCCAGCTTGGACACTATGAAATGTATCAAGGTGAAATTTGCAGAGGCGAAGGTGAAATGTGAAGAGGTGATAGTGAAGAGCGAAGAAGTGAAGGTAAAATGTGAAGATGAACATTCAACTCCAAAATCGGACCTTCACATAAATGGATGCAACGTGAAGCAGGAGGAGAATTCTGACTGTGAGGCAGAGCGAGGCAACTCCCAGCAGTTTGTGGAAGTGGAGGTGTGGGTGGACTTTTTGACAATACAAAGTCAAATGGAGAACCTGTAGATGTGTAAGCTTGAGACAATGAAGCTCCAATAGATTCACATTTGTCACGGGCCTTTAATGAAAATAACGTGAAGTTGAACACTACATTCCTAGGTTCAACCTGCAGAGTAAGAGCGGTCAGTATTTGCGGACCTGTGGGTTGGGTAGAACTCTAACTAGGATCGAGAGCCAATAAGCTCCCAAGCATTCACTATGTTATAATAATATAGCATTTATATGGGCTTGCTTAATTGCCTCAGCAACTCGGAGTTTTGTATCATATCTCATCACAAACACTCGAAGAGCACACCTTTTGGCGTCCTCTGGATTAACACCGTTTGATACTAGGCTCGAAAGAAAGCTGTCTCTGGTGTGGACCAATCAGTTTCAAAGACAATGCATATGTTGTGTCCTATGACTAACCACACGGTGATCCGAGGGGAGAGAATTCACGTAAAAACAGAGGCATGACCCATACATCGAGACTACTGCAAGTTACAGAAGACTACAAGCGACAGAGAGTACTGCAACGGGCAGACTCCGGGGCATGGCCTCGAGATCAACAATTGGTATTGTGTTTTGAGTCGCTTGCAAAGTCAAGGATTGCGATAAGTTGTATTGTACTAAGCTTTCACAGTTGTTCAAGAAGTGTGCGAATACAACTAACAAGTTTTGAGAGTGAGTTCCAGCTCCCACAAGCAGCTGCGATCGGCAGGCTCCGGGGACCCTGCCCCTGTGACTGGCACATCGTCAACGAGCTGCACCAGCAGAAGCCACGAGTCTACGAAATCATTGCAAAGAGTTGACTCACTGCAAGCAGCAAGCTCTGGGGTTGGACTCTGCAATCAACCAAGGATGAAGAGGCTTGCCGAGTAGCAATGGGTTACCTAGTACGAGCTCAGCGCTGGCAGAAGAAGTATCACTCAAAGTTATTTTACACTGAGTGCCAGCTCCCACGAGCAGCTGCAGCCCGAGAGATAGAGTGACGAGCAACGATGAGCAATCAACCGGGAGAAAGGGTGGAAGCCCAAGCATCGACCAAGCCAGCATCGCAGAGAACCAGCTGCACGTGCAACCAGGCATCGCCAGAGAGCACGGGGCCGGAGAGAGCGCAGCAGCGCCACCGAGCAAGGGTGTCAGCTGCCAGCGGACGAGCGGCGAGCTCTGTCAATCACCTTCAAAGACAAGCATCGTGCCGACTCAGCTCATTCAGCAGGGGAAAGAGCCTGACCAGCCTCCCGTGAGGAAGGGGAGAGCGCCAGCGAGAGCGCCGTGGGTTCAACCCACACACACCGACCAGCACCAGCTGTGAACCAAGACAAGAGTGAGGAACGGCGACCAGCAGACAAGCTGCGGGCGCTATCTGACGACGGAATCATCGCGCGCCGCTGACGGCAAGCGTCGTGCTGACTCTTCATCCAGCAGTGGGCAGCAGCTCCAGCTGCCGCCGAGCGAGAGAGAGCGAGGAAGCTGTGTGTATGACCCTCCCCCACACTCACATACCACGTATCACCCAGCGTCTGCTTGACGCAAAGAATTGATCAAGGAGACAAAACCACCAAACACACACATACAGCACATACCAGGACTAATAATAAGAAGAAGAATGATAAGAGTGCGTCAACTATTAGCTGATAATGAAGAACATTGCTGCCCATTGAGTCACATGGATACGGTCGTTGAGAGGTATTTTAGTCGTTCTTTTTGTTAATTTTAACTGTACCGATTAATTCATTGATGAAACTTAACGTTTAGAAACCTATGTTACGAATCCACACACTCTCAGGGAGACTATTGCGTTGAAATCTTTCTTTTCATCACAGAATCTTGCCCGCTAATTTATTGACGCCTTAGCCAATTGATAAGCATTTGCTGAAGCAGGCACACTGCCGCACACCATTGTTCCAAGACATATAGTTAATTGTATAATCTACCAATGAATTCATTGAGGTCTACTTTTACAATCGGGACATGTTTCTTTATTGCCGTTCGTATGAATATCGTCACATTTATTTTAAGGACTTTTTCCTATCGCCGTATATCCTCGCGTTACTCTGAGAAATGAACCGATTCCTCTGTTACCCAGTTTAACAACGTAATCATTGAGGGTTAAATGTACGGATCAATGAGGAGCACATCTCCAGGAGTACTGTGTTGACAATTCCAAGTGTAATAAAGGACTCTTTCTCAATGTCGATCTCCGTTGTCCTTTATTTGGGTTCGTAGAATCTCGTTCACACGGCGTCCTCGCTCAGGCCCGCGTTTCTCCCGACGATCACTCCACAGCCACTCTGCTGCTCGTTCTGCAGCCTCACTGCTGCTCCGCCCTGCAGCCACACTGCTGCTCCGTCTGCAGCTTCACTGCTGCTCCGCTCTGCAGCTAGCCTTCCACCGCTCGCTAGCCCTCTGTGTCCTGACACCGATGGCTGACGGTGCCGACGTCTCCCACCGCGTGGCGACCGCGCCACTCTCGCCGTACTGCCCAGCGTGGCCTCCTCCCGTTTCACTCCGTCTGAACTCCCCGTTCCCCTTCCGGTTCTCTCCCTAAATCCTCTCCCCCACGTGACCCTAACTCCTCCCTCTCCTCACGTGACCCAGACTCCGCCCCCCCTCAATCCTTGCTCGCATTACATGACCCCCCCCCTGATGAAAACCCAGCCGTCCCCGGCTGCAATAAATATAATAAAATAATGCGAGCAACATTTTAACCATCTGGCATCACCGGACAACGGAGAATATAACAACGATAACAAGAACAACAACAACAAGAAAACAACGAAAGGAAAGGGATT